AACACACACACACACACACACACACACACACACACACACACACACATATATATATAGATATAGATATGGAGCGAGATTTTACGTCTGCTACATTCGGACGTACCTATTTGTACAAATCTGCACTCCCCTCGTGGCGTATAGGCTGGGAGGCACTTGAGACATCCTCCAATGAAGTAATTGTACCCGAACACTTCTTGATAACCGTGCTCAGTCTTCCTCTATCATAAAGACTATTCACTATCACTACAGTTAGTGGAATACCAGTTTATTTGAAAGTATGTATGTACTGAATATGTTTCGATTGCTGTACAACGTAAAATATGATTCTGCGTATTCATCAAGTGAATACACACGGAGTGTACACAATACATCTGATATTTTAATTATCTGCAAGTGGTTTGGGTCTTTGTGCACAAGGGTATCATTTGCCGACGGATATTAATTATTTATAATTGCATATAAATTTTATGAATAAAAAATACATGTTATTACATACGGTACATTTTTCGACCGCGACGATAAGTAGTAAATAGAATGGAGCGTTTACCTTACTCACTGTAGTTGGGTCAAGTGAGGTTGCAACGTGAAAGCTTGATGCCTTTGGTGAAGCTTTGAGTAGCCCATTTGTACGCTGGAGTGATCGCCTCAACTTCACATCATAATGCATTACCTGGACGATTATCTCGAAAGTATGTACAATATTTATTTTGTAGATATAATCACCTTCCCATACGTACATATACATATATACATACGTATATACTAGTGAAAAAATATTTAGTCGGCAGAATATGTAGACGTATACTATTATAGCTACACATATGTCACATACAAGATATCATAAACGTTCAATAGTTACAGACATATGTTGAGTATGTGCTCTCTCTCTATACATCTTCACGGTGAAGAACCTACACATACACTCGTCAGTACCTGGACACCAACACACATACACATATACATTCACTATCTCACACGTACAACACACGCACAAAAGACGCACACACACACTATTATATATAGTT